GCACATGCGCAGCGCCACGCCGCGCGGAGCAAGCACTGGACGACAGCCGAACGAGGTCGTGCTTAGCTTGATGACATCAGAATGAGGTCAATCCTACGTCATGCGAGCCATTTGGCCGCGGGGACGCAGCTCTTTTGTTTAATCAGACGTCTGTAAAAACAAATCCGATGGTGCCATTGATCATTGGAGACGATGTCAATAGTCAAGACAAAGTTCTCTGGCACTGCAAGGCTACAAGCATCGAGGCCCAGATAATACCTAAACAAAAAAACGATTTCTTTTGTCAGCAGCATGTTCTATCTTTGGCCAACACAGGGACTCAGTCATGACTGATGTGCTTTCTTTATGTTGTTTTTAGTCTGCACAGTAGGTCAACATAGCAAATTAGACCTTATTTAAATTCAGGGCGTAATATCGGATGTCACATGGAGGTGTCGTATGGGGTGTTCGGATGCTAAGAAAAAAACAAATTACAGAATCAATCGGTAATCTGTGAGACGAATTTATTAAGCCTAATTAATCTGTCATTAGCACACATGTACTGTAGCACCGCATTGTCAAATCATGGACAAATTAGGCTTAAAAGATTCATCTCGTAAATTAGTCGTAAACTGTGTAATTAATTATTTTTTAGTCTATATTTAATAGTATATGCATGTGTCTAATTATTCGATGGGATAGAGAGTAAATTTTAAGAGAGGAACTAAATAATGTCTTAGGACAGTCCCAATGGTGTATTGATGATGGTTTCTATCCTCATTAAATGACTTGCCACGTAGGCAAAACGCTGACATGGCAACGTAATTAATGAAGAAAGAGAGCAAAAATCCTAGAAATGGTTTCCTCATGAAGAAATCAGGTCTTCTCTTGACCCAATGCACAAAGAAACCATGAAATCGTCATTGAAGAGAAACCACCAGTTTCTAGAGGGCTCGTGTCGCACTCCCATTGGAGGAAGAAGATAGAGTTGAGAGAGAGAAAGAAAAAATAATTATTACTCATAGAAATTATAGGTTGGAAAGCAGTACTTTTTTTTTACGGTATCCTACGTTATATAAACTATTAGTTTCTTTAATTGGAACTACCCATAGTGTACTAGCGAGCAATGTCAAATCCAAGCATTAATTGCACCTACGACGACGTGTTGTCCTGGAAATCTGGACATCGATTGCGATGCCTGCACGCTACGGATGCTCCTTTGTCATGTGCATCCCATGTGCTGGTGTTGTACTGATCAGATCTAACAAGATTACTTAGCTGATAATGATATAACTAACTGTGATTATCAGATGCAACGATCGAGACAGTCAAGCTAGGTACCGAAAGAAAAAAGAAGGAACATGGCCGGTGAAATAAGGGCGTGTTCTTTTATAAGGGAGTTGGAAAATTTTAGTTTTAATTAGTTCATTTAAACCAAACACCACTGGTACAGAAAATATCTTTAGAGATGGTCAAAAGTGATCTTCAGAGACGGTTTTAAAACCGCTACCATGCCCGTGATTGTAAAAATAAGTGATTTTCAGAGACGGTTTTAAAATCGTCTCAAAAAATTGATTTTCAGAGACAGGTTCTCAGAGGCGCCCTCCCTAAAAATAATTTTCAATTTTTTTAAAAATCATTTAGAGTCTAATAAAAATAAGAAAAAAATATTTCTAATGTAGCCTGAAGGGCTGAGAATTGGCCACGGCTCACAAGATTTATTTTTCACTTGTTTTGAATAAGTGCCAACACGAACCCACAACCTCTTCCTCGCGCGATCCCTCCCATACCACCGCACCACACAGTCAGTTACGTCTAGTTCTACGATGCTATCTATTTGTACTAATACGCACGAATTTTGTAATCAATATTTTAACTCATAAACTATCTTAAATGAGAAAACTTTCAACTACAAAGTTTTAGATCTCGGCGAGCACTACAACTTTGACATAGAATATTTCTCCATCCAAGGTCATTTGAAATTTTTAAAAAATTTGAAATTCAAAATTTGAGACTTAATTTATATATTTGGAACCCTAAATGATCTCAAACAAAAAATTTATCAACTAGAAAGTTTTAGATCTCGTCGAGCTCTACAATTTTGATATAAAGTTTGTCTCCATCCGACTTTATTTAAAAAATATATGAATTTATTTGTGTTGCAGCTATTTTTAAGGATTCAGAGGCGGCCCATTTTCAGAGGCGGTTGACATAAGAAAACCGTCCTTGAAAATAGTATTTTCAGAGGTGGTTCTCTTAACAGAACCGCCCCTAAAAATAGATACATTTTTAGTTGCGGATTTCTTAATGGAACCATTTCTAAAAATTAATTTCTACCAACGGTTGTATAGCTACAGTGCCTCTCGCGAAGGTTAGTGGTGGCGTGCTAAGACAACCGCGGCTCTTAGAAAAGGAAAGTGCCTCTAAAAATTATTTATGTACAACTAGGGACTAAAACTGGGACTATGGACTAAAATGTAGTAGTGCCTTGGCTATGAACCATAGTTCCTGTTTTAGCGTCCAGGAGCAGAGAAAACAACACGCCCTAAGAAAGATGATAGGATTCCGGGTTGGTACGGTGACAGTGACACACAATTAATGGCGCTCTCGTGGTCGGCGTCAACGGCCTACTGCGAGGAATAATGACGGTGTTTAGCAGTCCAAAACACTCCTTCCTACCTGCTAAAATACTAGCTAATGGTGAAGACATACTAGTAGTGGTAGCCTACTACTACAAGAGTACAAGGACACCGCAAAGCAAAGCAAACCGGACACATACAGTTGCAAAACTATGAAGGTCTGTGTGGGACGACTCCCTGCTGCGGCGAAAGCAACGGTCGTCGCCCCCGCCGCAGCCGCCGTCGTCTTCGTCCTCCTCTCCGGCATGGCGGCTCTACCGACGGGCATGGCAGCCGTCGTCGAGCACACCTTCGTTGTAAGTGAATCTGAACAAGCCAAAGAAAGTCGTATATATATTTTTCATTCATGCGTGATTTGTGTTAGAACATTCAAAAAATTATGTATGCACAGGTGAGCCAGGTGAATGTGACGCGCTTGTGCAAGGAGACGCTGGTGACCCTGGTGAACGGGCAGCTACCGGGGCCGGCGATCGAGGTCACCGAGGGAGACTCCGTGGTCGTCCATGTCGTGAACAGGTCGCCCTACAACATGACCATCCACTGGTAATGGCCTTTTTCTTCCGTCCGATCCCAAGCAAGACATCCATCCATCTCCATCCTAATGTATTCCTACCAATCACGCTTCAAATCAAACAACAAAATCAATTGCCCTCCTGTACGTGTTTCTTCCAAATGTAGAAACAGAGCTGGATTATCCAACACCAGTTTGCTTTCAACCGTAGATACCATTTTGTCTCTGAATTTGGTTCCTGTTCCATTGCAGGCATGGAGTGAAGCAGCGGCTCAATTGCTGGGCGGACGGGGTGCCCATGATCACCCAGTGCCCCATCATGCCAAGCCGCAACTTCACCTACCGATTCTACGTCGCCGGACAGGAAGGCACCTTGTGGTGGCACGCTCACGTCCCCTGCCTGCGCGCAACCCTGCACGGGGCTCTCATCATCCGGCCCAGACATGGCGCCACCTCGTATCCCTTCCCTAAGCCTGACAAGGAGATCCCCATTGTTATAGGTACATGAATTTCAAGCATGGTTGCTGGTTGCATAATAGCTTAGCTAGAAGATGTGTGCATTGTTTAATTTGGAACAAGGTTCTTCTCTGAACTATGGCCTTGTTTAGTTGGCGAATTTTTTTTGGAAATGGTACTGTAGCACTTTCGTTGTTATTTGGCAATTAGTATCAATCATAGTCTAATTAGGCTTAAAAGATTCGTCTCGTGAATTTTGTCTAAACTGTGTAATTAGTTTTATTTTTTATTTATATTTAATGCTTCATGCATGCGTCCAAAGATTCGACGGGAAATCTTGAAAAATTTTGCAAAATTTTAGGAACTAAACGGGCACTATGTTGTTTTTGTGAATTAATGCAACGCCTGAAATCTGAATGACAACTGCAGGGGAATGGTGGGATATGGACCTTGCACAGTTGGACAGGAACACGGTGAACGGTGTCCTTGTCGACGTCCCAACTGGAAGCACGATCAACGGCAAGCTTGGAGACCTCTACAACTGCTCTGCGGCCTCTGCCTCTGAAGGTGCCGTGGAACAGGAAGATGGCTTCGTACTGGAAGTGGAGTCCGGCAAGACGTACCTGCTCCGGCTGATGAACGCCGCGCTCTTCTCCGAGTACTACCTCAAGATCGCCGGCCACACGATGACGGTGGTCGCCTCCGACGCCAACTACGTCAAGCCCTACGCCACGGACGTCGTCGCCATCACGCCCGGCGAGACGATGGACGTCCTGGTGGCCGCCGATGCGCCGCCGGGCAGGTACTACATCGCCGCCCTGGCCATACAGGCGCCCGAGCCCGACGTCCAGGTGCCACTCTCCATCACGCGCGGGATAGTGCAGTACAGCAACAACACCAGTAGCAACGTCGTCGTCGATGATGTGGTTCCAGCTCCGGTGATGATGCCCGACATGCCTGACCAGCACGACACCACCACCAGCTACTACTTCCACGGCAACCTCTCCAGCCTTCGCCTTCGTCACCGGGTGCTGGCGCGCGCCGACGAGCACATGCTCATCTCGCTTAGCCTGGGCTCCGTGTGCCGCGACGGTGGGCAGTCGTGCGCGAGGAGCGACAGCGACGAGTCCATCATCGTGGGCACCATGAACGACGTCTCGTTCCGGGCGCCCACGGCCGCGGCGGTGTCGCTGCTGGAGGCGCACTACTACCGCCGCGACGACATGGCGGGCGCCGCCGGCGTGGAGCTCGGCACGCTCCCGGACGCGCCGCGGCGGGTGTTCAACTTCACCGACCCGGCCTACATCCCGTACGGGCCGAAAGAGGCGCCGCTGGAGCCGACGGAGAAATAGACGATGGTGCGGCGGTTTCGGCACGGCGCAGTGGTGGAGGTCGTGTTCCAGGACACGGCGGTGATGCAGAGCGACTCCAACCCGATGCACCTGCACGGCCACGACATGTTCGTGCTCGCGCACGGCTTGGGCAACTACGACGCGGCGAGGGACGTGGCCAGCTACAACCTGGTGGATCCGCCGCTCAAGAACACCGTCGTCGTCCCGAGGCTCGGCTGGGTCGCCGTTCGATTTGTCGCCGATAATCCAGGTGCATGCCTACACAATTTATTTATTTACATGACCGGCATATAAATGCAAACTTGCAATGTCGGCCGATGCATGCCTGTTTTATTTACAATCTCCTGCGCTGCAAGTGCCTAAAATATACCAAAGTTTTGCTCCAAGATTTGGATTGGTGTTCTTTTATTGACACTGCTCCCCTCCGTCGCAAAATAAGTGATGATTTACGTTTGTCCTAACTCCTAAGTCTAACCATTTTAAGTTTGACTAAATTTATATAAAAAAGTACTAATGTTTATGATACCGAATTTTTGTTTCTTGTGTACAGGAACATGGTACATCCATTGCCACTTTGATTTCCATCTGTCCATGGGCATGGTAGCCGTTTTCATTGTAGAGGATGGATCAACAGTGGACACCTCTCTTCCTCCGCCTCCTGAAGATTTACCAAAATGTGGCTCTAATAAAGGAGGCCTTGATTTGCCGCCAGTGGAATTCTTCTACCTCCAAAATGAACAGAGTCGCAAGACAGTGCCGGGCAAGTGATGGAGGAACCTGTCAGAGCACATGCTGGTTACTAGCACTAGTATACAAAGTACATTTACGTGGTGTTTAGATCCGGTGACTAAAATTTAGGAGGTGTGTCAGGAGGATGTTGCATAGGGTATTCGGATACTAATAAAAAACAAATTACATAATCCGTCAGTACTCCACGAGACGATTTTTTAAGCCTAATTAATCCGTCATTAGCACATGTTTACTGTAGCACCACATTGTCAAATCATGGACTAATTAGGCTTAAAAGATTCGTCTCGTAAATTAGTCGCAAACTATATAATTAGTTTCGTAATTAGTCTATATTTAATACTTCATGCATGTGTCCAAACATTCGATGGGACGGCGACTAAAATTTAGGAGGCCCATCCAAACACCACCTTAGAAACGATTAGGTTTTATTTGCAGAGGCGGTTTCCATAATCACCCCAACCCAAGCTTTAGAACCCTGGATCAGTATATCCATGGGTGTAATGTGTTGTATAAGCCATGGATGGCATGTTTTCACTATGTCCCTAACAAAGCAGTTAGCTAGCAAGCTCAAAGAATTGACACTCGGAAGCTCCATGCTGTGTGTGGTTCTTTATTAATGTATAAAAATAATGCCGATCCAGAAGCTGGGATTGCAGATCAGCATGGTGAGATGCTTGGAGTGAGGCTGCATCGTGAGCCTTGTGTGAATGCATATGGCTGAGTCAGCTGGAACGCTTGGCATCATTTGCTTGAAACTTCAGGTGCGACTCAGTTTCCAAAAAATAGAAATAAGGGAGTTGATTGAGATCTTGATCCATCATTGTTTACAGTGGTCCGCTCGATAATGCACATACATGCACACCCATTACTAAAAGGTTGCGTTGACTGTGTGTCTGTGTCATGCTGAAATCAAGGTACGATTGGGTCTTGAATATTGAGTAGGAGTATACAAAAACTCCTGTTCTGAGTCATGACAGATGGAGTAACACCCGAATTCACAATGCTGCCATGTGAATGGATTCGATTAAACCGATGCAACATAATGATAGATTAACGCGGACCACGAAGAGCAGCAACGGCCAGGAGTGATTACAGGTAATCTATCCTTCCAAAAAAATTCAACATCAAATACTGCTTTACAGGTTCCTAGCATCTTGATAGCTGCAGGCATCGAGAACTGATTTTTTTTTTTCTTTTGAGAGTATGCTTAGCACGTATTTTATTAAGAGGAGTTGGAAAATAAGTACATGTCCAAAATCACTTCATGACGAGTTGCCATTGGTGATTGGGTAAACACAGACACAAGACACCACCAGACGGTGGAATAGACTTGGTTGTAACTAACTAAGAGACCAATTGAGCGACTGGAGCAGCGGTTATAACGCGATGCTAGCCATGTGCAGCGCCGATCACGGACGACAAGCTGGTAAAACCTGCGCTTACCCAGCTGTGCGCTTCGTCGACGATTAGGCGGAGTAGCTCCTGCGGTGTTCTGGAGATCCTGTCAAAAGTTCGACGGTTTCGCTCCTTCCAAGACGTGAGCAGCACTACCGAGTCGAACTCCTTCCTAGCAGGCTTAGGTACCAGCTTTCTGGAGCGCAGCCACCAGTCCACCATGGTTGCATCTGCCTGGCGAACACGCACGAGGTGAGAAGATGATCCGATGTCTCGCAGCCTTGATCGCACAAGACGCAATGGAGGCATGTGCTAATAACACAGTTCTACTAGCACATTGGGTACCAACAAGCACTACTGAGTTTTTCCTAAATCCACGGCCACCCGAATTTGGAAGTGCAACATTTTTGTGCTTCTCTGGAGAGCAACCCATACGAACACACTTTGGCACATCAGCATGTGTTTATTTACGTTCGCTCTACTTCCCGTGTGCTATCTTCGGTGGTCCCATTCGCATGTGCGCTTTTGCGGTGACCAAATTACTCTTTGTCAGCGAGATAACATGGGCCTCATCAACCCCTCATGCAACGGGATAAGGGAAGGCCCTGGGTTGGCTGCCCGGCTTCTTGGGCCTTGATTGGCCAGGTAGCCCACGGGTGTCCTTCCTTTTCGTTTTGTTCTTTTTAAATTTCCAGTTCTTTTTTTTTAGAGCACGCCAAAACGCGTATTTCATTAAGCAGAACAGAAGTTTTTAGAATAAACAACAAGCATGGTAACACTCTGGTTACCAAAAACACACACCCCATCCCACACCAGAGCACATGGGTATTTGCTGAAATTTATTTATTATATTCAAGTTTCATTTTCCATAGCATTCCCTCACGAGCCCCACGTTCCCAGCGAACCTGCTCTCGTCCTCTCTCCATCCATCCAGAATCCATGGCCCAGTGTCACTTCTTGCCCACCGAATGTGTCGGCGCGTATGGTGGGGGTTCCTGCTGAGGCGGTGCTGGTCCGCGTTGATGTCAGAGACGAAGAACGCGAGCGTCTGTGGTGAACCGCTCGACGTCGTCAGCTCGTGGAACTCATGGCCCTGTTCGCTTGAGCTTATCAGACAGAATCAGCTCTATTTTTTTTAAGCTATGCTATAGTATTTTTCTCTCACAATAAATCAGCTCTACAAATTAGCCGCAACAGCAATAAGTCCTGCCGAACAGGGCCCATGTCTTATGCCGTCGCCAACCACCTCCCCGCTACGCACCAACCCTACCATCGGTGCCGCCCACTGCCACGCCACCGCTGTCCAACTCCACCACCGCCTCCGCAGCGCAGGCGAATCAGGGTCGCCGAGGCCACCAGTAGGGACGGTAGCTGCAGCACCTAGATGCCGGCGACGGGCCACGCAACGAGCAACATCTCGCAAGATTGTGCTCGGAGGTCCTACTACGGCCCGTGCCTGGAGCGACAGTCTTTTTAGGACAGAGTGAGTATCTATTTTATTATTTTCCTATCATATTATGTTCTCCCATAAATGGTTCTCCCTGTTGGCCCATCATGGCCACCGATGGTCATGACCACACCAGCAGCGACAGCTCACCGAAAACACGAGCCTACCTCCGCACGCGTACTTTCTTTTTCTTTTGTTCTTTTCGAATTTCCAATTCTATCTGCTGAAATTTCTTATATTCAAGTCTAACTACAACTCAAATTCGAATTTTAAGACAAAACCCCCTGATAAACCCAAACAAAAGGTAACCCCGACCTCAGCGGCCTAGGAACGGAAACGTGAGCACGTTGCACGTTCTGTTCTAGTTCGTGGAATGGGAATATGATGGAACATCGTTTTGAACACCGATCGAAGGTGATCCACACCACGGAACCATGCTTGGCCACTTGACGGAAATTTGAGGCCCAAAATTCAATTGATGGAAGGAAAAAAGAGGAGAGGCCGAACGATGAGTTCAGCTATCTATTTTATCTTTATTATTTTATTAGAACTTTCCTAGTTTTACATTTAGTGAACACATGTGCTAATTAATTCATTCATGATATCAACAATTTTAGTTATTAGGATCATGTTTGTCGTTCTGATAACAAATTCCCATTACACTTGGTACGCGTTCCATTAATCGAAGGAAGAAGATCCAACTATATACCTCTTCGTCTCATGGACTTAAGAAACCACGTACCGCGTTTCCCTACAACGACCCCAATGTTTCGAGAACTTGGCTGCTATGAACCCAACCACTAGTCGACCTTTGCCAGCATGTGAACCAGCTCTTGAAAATCCATGTACGAGCTCCCACCCTCTGCCACAGCTGCTGCGGCCTTGCGGCCGAGCTCCACGCCGCGCTCCCTAATGGCCGTTCCCTCGTCCCCGACGGCCGCGGCGATGGCCTCCGCCATCCGCCCAGCATCAGGTACGGTATCGGCACCCTCCGCCACGTGCATGGCCACGCCGGCCTCCTCGACCACGATCTTGTTGAAGAAATGGTCGGCGCCCATAGACCAGGTGAGCATGGCCACGCCGGCGGAGTCGGCCTCGAGCACGGCGTTCATGCCGCAGTGCATCAGGAACCAGCCCACGGCGCGGTGGCGCAGGATCTCCACCTGCGGCCTCCACCCACAGATGACCATGCCCCGCGAAGCCGTGGCCGCCTCGAACCCCTCCGGCAACACGGTGAGCGTCCCCGCGGCCCACACGACACGATGGCCGCCGAGCTCTGAGCCAGCGCGTCCGCCACGCACGCCGCCTGCTACGGCGACAGCGCGTGCTGCGTCCCGAAGCTGACGTAGACGACGGATCCGTCGGCGAAGGCGTCCAGCCAGGCGGCCGCCTCTGACGGCCCCACCGCAGGCTTCCCGCCCCGGTTGCCGGATGTGGTGGCCCGGGCCTCGGACAGTGGGCCTAGTGGCCTACGGCTACCCGCGGGACCAAAGGCGCCGAACGGCAGTCGTCCAGGTAGGTGGGCTCGAGAGCCGCGAAGGAGTTGAGGACGACGCACTCGGTGTCCAGCAGGCTCCAGAGATAGATTTGACAGATCATCTCACATGGCTCGTCGCCGACCTTGTGGAGCCGGTACGTGATTGGCATCCGGCGCCATGGGAAGCTGTGCGCGCCGCGTACATCCGGGAACGTGACGACGGCCTCGTCGTCGTCATCGTCGGCGTCGGCACGTGGTCTCTGCGGCATGTCGCGCCAGAGGGGGCGCGAGAAGGCGACGTGCAACGCGCTGCTGGGCGAGAACGTGACGTACCTGGCGCCGAGCTCGGCGGCGAGCGGCCGCGCCCACCTGGTGAAGAGGTCGGAGACGACGGCCGTGACGCGCTGATGGGGCGCCTGGGCCTTGCACCAGGCGAGGAGCGGCGCGCGCAGCTCGGCCAGAGCCGGGATGAACATCCGGAAGAGGTGGAACGGAAGGTCCCTGGTGTTCTCGCCGCAGCACGCTGGGAGCAACGGCGAGGAAGGGAACGGCAGCGTGACGACGCCAACGGACGGGCAGGCATCCAGGAGCGGCTCGAGGAGCGGGGCGTTGCCCGCCGTGATGGCCACGGTGACCGAGAGCTCGGCGCCGCCGCGCGTGGCGAGCAGCGCGACGAGGTCGAGGAGCGCCAGCATGTGGCCTTGAGCTGGGAAGGGCACCACGAGAACGTGTGGCATGCCATTGCCATCGTTGCCCTCGCGCTTCTCTGGTGGTGGTGGTGGTGTGTCCATCGTGCAGGATGGCAACCAGCAGATGACCTCACAGTTCCAGTTGTGCACGGGAGACCAAGGCCTGAAGGCCGCCGCCACCACCGCTGCTGATTTTAATAGATAGATGTGGTGGTGGGCAGTCGGCCTGGCGTTATGTATTAATCTGTCATGGTCATATGGTTCGAAAGGCGATAGGCATGCCAGCCTTTCCTGACTTGGCAACTACTCCCGTCACTCTCTCCATTCCAATTTCGGTAATGCTGATTAGGGCGTCCGGACGCCGGAGGCAAGGCACGTTGTCCACGTAATGTATCTACCACATAAATATCTGTTACTCCCGTCACATGATCACTTAGACTTATCCTCTTCGTTTCCATTTCGTGTCTCTCTCTTCTCTGTCTCTCCATACAAAGCAACAGCAAGATGAAGGATGTCATGGAGATTGTGCATCTCCTCCCCATCTCGAACTGGTGCAGCCACACGGTTCGCGCGTGTCACGGCCATACCCCACCCGCCCTCTGTACGCCTCCAGTAAGCTCCGTGCCGCCGCTTAGCTCCACACGCTGCCGGTAGAGAGCACCGTGTTGCCGACGAGCACTGCGCCACTCGAGATCCGCGCCGCCGATGAGCTCCGCACCAGCGGCCTCCGTAGCAACGAGCTTCGTGCCAGTGTTGAGCTCCACGTCGACGAGTCTCCATTCGCCTAAGCAGCAAGAAGATGTTGCAAGCGTACGTTTTGTAACACCCTAGGTGTTAGTCACGAGTTAAACAGCGAGTTTGGACTCAAGTAAGTTATGTCAAGTGATGATTGAGAGCTCTAGTCTAAAATTTTTGAAGTGGTGATGGAAGTGTTGAGGTCAAATCTATGAAATTGAGTCCCAACTTGAACTTGGACAATACACCTTGCTTACATGTTGACCCTTTTCAAATGTAGGCTTAAGTAATGTTGAAGGTGCCCCTTTCATGTGCCTCACATCTATTTCCATCTATATTGACTATTGAAAAAGTTTCATGAAGTTTGGAGCCAAGAAGTCACATGAAATGATAAGTTATAACCTTTCTTGAATTGCTTCATCAGGTGAATGGGAACATGGGATGTCGACCAAACCTTGCTACCTTGCCAAAATGAATCTAATTAAACTCTACAACAAAAGTCATGAAAGGTTCATGTTGATCAAGGGCCAAGAAAATGCCAGGGTTTATCGTGATCCTGCTTTGACCTAGGTAAAACAATAGCTTATGTACCTATGCTGAGGTTTGACCTTAAAGGAAAGTTATAGTTTAGGTGGAGTTCTTCAAACTTTGTTTTTGGACCAAGAGCTAAAATGGCCTCCAACCTGGTTAAACAGTGACCTCAAGTTTGAATGTAGTGCTCTTTTAGGCTCTCAGAAATCTTTCTAAGTCCCTGATCAGCAGCAGTGAGTTGACATGTTTGCGATATTTTCTCTTGCAAAATTGTATGGTAACTCAATTTCAATCCTTAATATGAGTTGAAGTACCCTTTGTGAAGGAAACAACAAAATAAGTCTCATCACTTTTGGAGCACGTTTGGACCACCAAATTCAGTTCCCAAAATTGCTAGTTTCACTGAACTTCGTGGACTTAACCTGAATTTCTGAATCGTGATTTCAGTTTGCAAGTAGCCTTCTTTAAGAATTAATATCTCACAAATCATTTTCATTTGGACCAAACAACTTTAATCAAAGTTGTAGTACTCATGTAGCTCTATAACAAGGAGCAATTGGTTGATTGAATCATTGAACCGTTTGAGAGATATGGAGGAGAGAAGATGTGAGTTTCAGTTAGTGTTTCAGGCCGTTGAAACGGCTGTAGCGCTCGTTGTGGCCAACTCAGCACAGGAACTGCTGCCGCGTGGTCCTCGTGCTTGTTCGCATGACCGCCACCTCACCCACGCTTGTCGATGTGGAGAAGCTAGCGCCCTCTGCTCTCTCCCTCTCGCTCTTTCTCGCTCCCTATTGCTCTGTCTTCCGCTCGCCAGAGCTAGCGCCAGAGCGATTCTGCGCTACCGCTGTCGCTCCCTTTCCCATCCTTGCCGCCCTGCCAGCCGCACCGCCTCTGAGCCTGCCTCCCACTCCTACACCCCGTGCTCGTGCCCGCGACCCAAGCCCGAGCCGAGTACGCGGCTCCCGTCGTCTGCTGATGCCATGGCCGGGCCGCCTGCCTCCGTGGCTAGCAACCTACAGGCCAAGCCAGGGTGAGGCACGGCCGTGGCTGGCCGCTGCAAGGCCACGAACCCTCCTTGCTGCCGGCGACCCCCTCCCTCGGTCGGCGCCGTCGTTTCCCCGTCCGTCTTCTGCTCTCTGTGCGGCTCTAGGAAGAAGAAAGGAGAAAAATGAATTAGAAGCTCTTTCCAAGGTTCCTGATGCTTAATGACCAGAGACAAAGGTTTTGTAGATCTAGGTTTAGTTGATTTGTGAAATCTCTAGGGTTCGAGATGCAAAAGTGTTTTTCCTTTTCTTTTTCTTATATGGATCTAAATCGGCTGAACTTTGGAAAATCATAGTAAATCGTAGAAAAATCATACAAATAAAGATGTTTTGGAATCCTTGTGAGTAAATCTACGCAGTAGAGTCATAATATGAAAGTTTCTGCTATTTTTATTTATTTTGTAAATTAGGGTTTTCTAGGAATAAATTCATATCTAAAGTTGTGGTGCTGCAAATGTTGTGAAATTTTTATGGTAGGATACTGATGTCATATGTGTGCTGTGATAAAAATTTTATGTTCATTGAATACAATATAATTGAGTTATTAATTTAACTTGCTTAGTGCTTGATAAATAGTTTTAAATGATTTATAATTAAAATAAAGATGCAAAAATAGAAAATATTGTTCTATTACCTTGGTACTATGTTGTTATGTCATGTTAATACATAATATGGCTATGTGTTTAAAAAAAATAGTGTGTTTTAGTTTTATCTTGCTTTCACATGCTTTATTACAATAATAACTTGTTTTTATTGTAGTAATTAATTTATAAAATCTGAGCATGTAATCTTTATACAATAGTCATGTTTTGATAACATCTTTCATTCATAAAAATCTGAGCTCCAAACTATATGTTTGCAACACCACCTAAAAATAATATATAGGTTTTAATATATAAAAGCTAATGAGAGCTTAGTGGCAAATAAACATAGCAATGTTCTTGTGATGCTTTTGTTGCATGTTGGTATAAGCTAAATGTGGTGAGGTCATGTTCATAATGGTGGGAGGTGTGTAAATAGCTTATGAGTATGCTCTCTTTAAATAAAACTAGCAATGCATACTTTGTTTGCGTAATGAACACCACCATGTGAACCCTATTTATATAAGAATGTATTAGGGTACTTTTCCTATTAGCCATGACTAATTTTGAGTAACTACTTTAATGATAGTGGTGAGCTAAGTGTTTGAGTTAAGCATAGCTGACCTTGTTAGTAGAATCAAGTGATGAACCACTTTGCTTATGTGCTGAAAAAGACTGCATGTACAGTTTCTGTGGTGGTGATATTTTTATGATATAAATGATGTTTTCTGTAAATATGGTGAATACCAAAGTTGTAGATAATTTTCTTATCTTGCTTATACTAAAATGTCATGATTTTAGGCCTGCTGATTTAGGAGTTATAGATTTTAGAAGTTTGCTATCATGTTTTGCATGTCATCTAAACAGAGCTGAACGATTATATTATTTGGCTTATTTAAATATGGAATCATGTATTGGTGATAATAGAAGAGTTGTATTTCTTTTGTTAAGATTTCCAAAATGTCTAAGAGCACCACTTTTTCTGGCCTAGAACTCTGGTTATAGCTGTTCAAAGTGGAATGACAGGTTCTGTCCAAATCTAGATAGAGATGTCTTCATCGGGTTGTTTAACTTTGATAGCTGTAGAATCATCTTAAGATAATAATAAGAAAGTTATAGGTAACTTAATAAGATTTGCATAAAGTTAAGAATCATGTTTGTTGGATAATTAGAACTCCAGTTATGCATTTCTGAAGTTCATGTCAGTTTTCTGTCCTTGTTTGTGCAGATCTGATTGTTAGTGTTTTTCAACCTTGTTAACCTTTAAATCAGATCTAGGTGTAAATAGCAAAGTTTTAGACAATTTCCTAAGATTTCCTAAAAGTCTAGGATCACCTTTTTTTGATTACTATAACTCTAGTTATGGTTGAAACAAATGACTTATGTGCTGCAGTCCAGATTCTGTGCATGTACTAAGTTGATTGCATTAGCTTACTCTTGTTTGGCTAAATATGTTTAGTTAATTCTTGATTGATGAATGATTATAATATCTAAACTTAAGTTAACTTGTGTGCCATGCTTGATGTGCTTGCTATCTTTTATAATAGATTGTGTGATGTTTAGTTAAACAACTCTAGGTGCTATGCCTTCTTGTGTAACCTTGAGCTTGTTTTGAATGCTTTTATGTGATGCATCTCTTGTGGCCATTCTTTGCATTCATATATCTGCATTGTGCATCTCATTTAGGTACGCTAGATGAACCACGTGAAGGATGGAAGGACATGATGTTGGAGTCAAACCAGAAGACGGTGTTGGTGGATAAGTCCCAAAGATGGTGTGTTGGTGGACGGATCTAGAAGATGAAAGGACCTTGAGAGTTCATGCCTGAACAGGAGATGCTCGCTAAGCGAGTGTCATCTAACAAGCACTGACCTAGTGTTGGATCGCAGGTAAGCCTCGGAGCATTCTAAGCCTCACATGCTTTATAAATATCAACTTGAGTTCTTTACGTTTGATGCTTTAGGTTATAAGAGTTGATTGAAAACACTTGATGCATATTATTTTCTTGTCCAGAAATATACCTTGAACCCTATGTAGGTCCAGGATCAAATAAATGCTTAGCCATGCTTAGTTCGGTAGAAGTCGGGTGATTTCCTGTCACCTACGAGCTATAGGTGGATACCTGATCACGGTTGGCTATATTTGCTATCGTATAAAAGAATCATGTGATGATGTAATTGGAGGTCGGACGGAGTCTATGTTGTAGGTTGAC